TGGATCACATAACCATCCCTCAACGTGCGATGAAGAATCACTCCAAAGTTCCTATCTAGCGGAGAACATAAGAAGAAATTGTTTATAGCTATTCTTTTCGATCGATCTATCCAGGAGTTCGTACTAAAATAACACCAAAACAAATTCAGGTTCATAATACTTGATCCAACACAAAGAACCTCAAAGAGTGCCCCAAGATTTCTACCGGAGAAACAAAGACGAGAACATGCATCAACCCCTATGCATAGATTACCCCAATGTCACCTCAAGAATCCGCGAGTTGAGTGCCAAAACACATATCAAGTGAATCAATATGATACCCCATTGTCACCACGGGTATTAATATGCAAGACATACATCACGTGAATCCATAAAAGTATTCAATTCGATAAGAATGAAATATCAAAGGGAAAACTCAATTCATAACAAGATAGAGAGGGGGAAACACTATATGATCCAACTATATTAACAAAGTCCGCGATACATCAAGATCATGCCATCTCAAGAACACGAAGAGAGAGAGAGAGAGAGAGAGAGAGAGAGAGAGAGAGAGATTAAACACATAGCTACTGGTACAAACCATCAGCCCCGAGGGTGGACTACTCCCTCCTCATCATGGTGGCCGCCGAGATGATGAAGATGGCCTCCAATGATGATTTCCCCCTCCGGAAGGGTGCCGGAACATGGTCCAGATTGGTTCTAGTGGATACAGATGCTTGCGGCGGTGGAACTTCCGATCTATCGACTCCCTTGGGGTTTTTGGAATATTTGGGAATTTATAGGCGAAGAGGCGGTGCGGGAGGCCACCGAGGTGGGCACAGCCCACCAGAGCGCGCCTGGGCCCCCAGGCATGCCCAGGTGGGTTGTGCCCCCATTGGGGCACCCCTCTGGTACTTCTTTGGCACATGTTGTTCCTTATGGTCCATAAAAGTTCTCCAAAAAGTTTCACTGTGTTTGGACTCTGTTTGGTATTGATTTTCTGCGATGTAAGAAACAAGCAAAAAACAACAACTGGCACTGGGCACTATGTCAATAGGTTAGTCCCAAAAAATGATGTAAAGTTGCTATAAAATGATTGTAAAACGACCAAGAATGATAGTATAACAACATGAATACTTCATAAATTATAGATACATTGGAGACGTATCACCGTCCACTGGTCCCTCGAGTCCGTGCACACCTCCACGAATGACGCCCCCAAGGGGGAAATGACACAAGAGTGTCGTCATCATCTGATCGCCTGACCTAGTGTTTTCCCCGAAGATAGCAGATAGAAGTCTTGAACTTCTCCATGGCGATGCCTTCAATAAGGGGACGACACCGTCAAGCGCCGGCCTTGGCATCTAGCCGAGTGCAGAGCTTTCACCCGGATCAGCTCAATGAACCACCATCCAGCATGTTGTGTATCAGATCTCGACCATCCCTAGCACCTCAACAGCGTTGGTGCTCCAGCCACCAGCATAGCACCTTGCGCCTCCACACCCTGGTCAGATGCACAAGTCACCTAGCCACACCTCATCGGCGGAGCATGGCCACCAAATGCAACACCACAACCATCCTGCAAGGCCGTCGGCTGCTCCTAAGTCCTTAGCCTCCATCCCCGATCCAATCTGGGCGCTCCTAGATCGGCCGCCAGGAGGTAGCGCCCATGCCAGGAACGCCAACACAGAGCCACCGCAAGACGCCAACACAGAGCCACCGCAAGATGGATGTCGTGCCGTCGAGCTAGTAGGGCGTCGGGAGAAAGCACCGGACATGGGAACAATGTATTGCCTTGCGGCGCTGTCAAGGAGATGGAGCCCCACACCCCACCCTGCAAAACAGGAGACAAACAGCCCCGCCGCCGCCAACACCACGAGGGCGCCCGTCGGCGGCGGCGAGGGGAAGGGGCAACGGGGGAGGGAGACCCTAGGCGGCAGTGGTGCCCTCCTGGATCGCCCACGGGGGGAGCGACATGGGAGAAGAGACGGGGCGAGTACTCAACGCATTATGGAACAGAGGTAGTACTCAACACAAGTGCAATCATAAATTGATGTAAATAGACATGCATGCATGTTGAACTCTTTGAAGACACCTACTGGTCGGTAGTCATATTAGCAATGGTATGCATGAAGAGGACGGGGCCTGCAGGTCCTACGTGGATGACGCCGATTATCTTGTCCCCAACTTCGGTGAAGTCGTAGATGTTACAGATCTCCTTAAGACATCTGACGATGTCGAGTAGGTGCATGGTATGTCCTTCTCGTCATACACAACAAGTCGCATCGTCATAAGGCCATGCCTGGTAGGGAGACATGTTGCTGTTGCCATGAGGAGCAGCCTCCACAACCACGCCAGGCAAGGCAGCACCACACTCCGGCCCAACAGTCTCGTCCTGCACTGTGTCCATCACGCGAGAGGACGATAGATCCCCGCCGCCGCCGCCGGTGGCCGGGGTTCGCCCGGTCGCGCCCTCTGGCGGCGGCGAGGGAGGACGACGAAGAAGGGGAGACCCCGCCGACAGCTAGGTTTTCCCTCCTGTCGCTTGCGGAAGGGACGGGATGGGTTGAAAGAGGTTGTATATTTTCACATTGTGAATGTTAGTATTATTTTTCTATAAAATTGGTCAAACTTTATGAGGTCTGACTTTAGACAAGTCTTATATGAAAACTAAAAAGGACTGGAGGGAGTATTAAATAAAACTTGTGTTGAATTAACCAACCTATCTAGTGCTTTTATGGTTGCCCCTATAGCATGAAGCAAGATAATGTGTTTCCCCACAAAAAAAAAGCAAGATAATGTGTTTATCATTTTTCTTAAATGTATGTCTTTTTGTATAAGTTCAAAATTGGAGCAAAACAAAACAAATTTTGCACACATGCGTCAGTTTTCTTTTGGTGGAGGGGGAGCATTGGACTGATTACTGGAGTGTAAGTTGTATGCATGCATCAGTTTTCTTTGCGGATTAAAACATGCTTTAGGCGTCAAATGTATAGATTGGATACCTATTATAAACTTTCTCGGAAAAAAGGATGACTATTATAAACTGACATAGTACACGCAGTGGCTAGATTAAATTTTGATGCGGCTCAAGGAAAATACAAATAATCTTTAGCAGTGGGGGCTATTCAGATACACTCCCTTGATAGTGATCTAAACAATTTTATATTTCTCTACGAAAGGAGAAGTAAATTGCATGCAAATAGTATAAACTAGCACGAATGATGAGTTGTTACATGTGTACAGTTTTGTGGATCATTAGTGCTTGCTTGCACTTGGGCCCTTTGTATTATTCTAGTCGCTTGTAAAAAAACTATCATATGGTTGTCATTTGCTCTTGCAGTGTGCGTCGAGGCTTCATTTGTCTCCAAAACAAACAAAAAATTAAAGGCTTCACTAAAAAAATGGAAAAAGAGGAGGTATGCGGTGAGCGTGGATCGAACACGCGACCTTCAGATCTTCAGTCTGACGCTCTCCCAACTGAGCTATCCCCGCCTGTTGAAATCTCTGCCTGTAAAACTTTAATATACTTTTGAGCGGCAAGTGGATGCGTAGGACGGCAGTGCGCTCTTCGTTAATTTCACCTCCCATCGGCAAGTCCCGCAGCAGGCACACAAAACTGTGCTCAATAAAGAAAAACGAAACCAGTGCACGAAAGCAACAGATGTTGCGGATCTTCCCCCAGACCGAGCGAGAAGCTGGCAATGGCATGTCGTTTTGCAAGGAATGTACGTACCAACACCAAGTCACCAGCGCCAGTCGTCCAAAAATAAATACACCGGTAAGTCACTGGCGGCCACTGGCATATCCATCCAGTCCAGAGACCTCAGATCAGACTACCAGAGCATGCAGCTGGCCGCCACCAACCAGCCCGGACGCCAAGGACGGGCAGGTTGGTGCAACCGGCGGTCACAGTCATCACAGTCCCACAGAGCATAGCATGCCTCTCGAGTCGCAGCAAAAATATGCTCCGCGTCGCAATGCTGGATACACTTGACTGTATTCTCTAACGTGGAGCACTATTATTATATATATATATATATATATATATATATATATATATATATATATATATTGAAATTTACGTGGAGCACTTAATATCTGCGAGCATGGCAACGTAAACCGTTGGGGGTGTAGACAGAGTGCAGAGATCTGCATTCCGTCAGGTGAGGTAGGGTAGGGCAGGGCAGCTCTCTTTCCTGCCCAGCCAGCCAAATGGCCTACAGCTTGGCACCAATAATGGCCGGAGAACACAGCCGGAGCCTTTCATCAGGGCAAAGTGGCAGAGGCCGTTAGCAGAGCGGCAGCTTTTGCCCCAGCAGCAGTATTGCAGGGATAAAAGCGAACCCACGATTAAAGTAAATCTACTAAACATCAGCTAAATCATTCTTCCGCAGCAAAGCGCAGCCCTGCCATGTACGTACGTAATGTGATGGCAGTGCGCCAAATGGGTCATCTCGTTCCATCATTGTTCGACAGTTACCGCAGATGTCAATCACACCAGAGCCTTTGCATCGGCAAAACGATTCCTACAGATAGAGGGACTTCCATTGACGCAAAACAACAATCGAGTGGTACAAGAGTGGCACTGTGTTAGATAGATCAATCGACTCGTCACAGACAGCAGGGAATGGCAGAGCCGTGGCAGTGGCGTAATACACTGTAGTAATAACTAGTGACAAGCACAATCACAAATCCGACGAGATGGGGTGGTAAGATCTCTAGCAGGCTTGTATCTACAGTTGCTACCTTGGAATCTCTGATGCTGCCCAGATTCTCCATTCTTTCTTCCCAGACCAAAAACCACGCAAAAGAAAACACACGGTGCACGCAAAGGAGAAAGGAAGCAAAAGAAAATGATAAAGTACGTAGGGCAAGCCACACCACACAGCAGCAGGCAAGCAAGCAGGAACACCTGGCTAGCTTGGCTCCAAGAATTAGGCAGCAGGGCACTGGCAGGTCAGCGCATGCGATCACGTAGAGAGCGCGCGCGGCTCGGCGCTAGCTGCAGCGGCGGTCGGTCACCGGGACTCCTCCTCTGGCCGCCTGGAGGCGCCGGAGAGCGCGGAGAGCAGGTTCAGGTGGTGGTGGTGCCCCTGCGCCACCGACGACGCGTACGCCTGCGCCTCCAGCGACGGGGAGAGGCCCCAGGGTACGGGCCGGGCCTGCAGCGCCTCCCAGAACGACGGCGCCGCCTCGTGCTCGTGGTCCTCGCGCGGCCGCTTCCCGAGGAGGGAGACGGCGGCGGTGGAGGGCGCGGAGGAGCAGGAGAAGACGGCCGGGGTGGTGCCGGAGCCGGTGGCGGCCAGGATGGACGGCTCGGCCTGCCGGAGCAGCCACTCCACGGTCTGCCCGTCCGACTTGAGCCCCAGCTCGCGGGTGAGCTGGAACACGCGCGCCGCGCACACGATCGGCATGCGCACGCGCCGCCCGCGCCCGTTCACCTTGCTGTGCCGGTCCTTGGCGCCCTTCGCCGCCCCCGCCGTTCTCGGCGCCGGCACTCTCACCACGGCGTCGTCCGCGGCCTCGGCCGACGAGAAGCCGGGCATTGCCATCGTCTGGGGCATGAGCGTCGCCGTCGGCATTGCCATGGGCCGGTAGAGCTGGAAGGTGGCGGCGTCGCGAGATGCCATGGCTGCTGGTGGCTTAGCTTTCGTTCGGGTGGCGCACAGATGTGTGGGGAGGTGATCTGATGGGGATGGATGGATGGATAGGGCCTTGTCCGCTTGGTCCCTGACCCTGTGGGGTGCAAATTTATAAAGGGGCTGGAGTTTCATGTGCGTTTTCTTTGTATATTCTTTTTATGCCCTCTGGCTCTGAAACGTCACAAGCATGTACAACAAAGTCATACACATTTCTGAGTGTGCATGTCAGAAAAAAATGCGCATATGAGTCATACACATTTCTGAGTGTGCATGTCAGAAAAAAATGCACATATGAAGCTACATGTTCGACTCTGCATGAGGAAAATACACTGACTTTGTCGGAAATGCACGTATGAAGTTGTTGGTTTGGTTACACATGTCTCTCTGATGAAAAATAATTTGCAAGGAATTGTGACGAAAATTATGATTCCAGCTTGAACATGAGGTGGCCGGTTTTCCTTTGCGAGTTTGAACATGAGGTTTCAGCTTTTGGGGAGCTCCATATGCAATTATTGGGAAGTACGTAAACAGATGGAGGTATCTGAAGTCTGACCCTGAAAACCTGAATGTAGCGCACTTGGGCACTTGGCTCAAGAAATCTGAAGTGCAGTGCAGTGCAGAGGACAGGAGCACTGCAGCCGTGCAGGGACAGCATGGAGCACTGCAGCAGGAGCGCTGTGCAGCACTGTAGGCATTGGGGGGCAGCCCACATGGGGTCTTCGTCCGGTAGCTCTCGCCTCTACGGACGGCTCTATTATGATATTATCTCACCTCACCTTGCTCAAGCCTGTAACATTGATCTGCATAGAAGAACTCTCGAGGTTTACAATTTTCTTGGTCATGCCGCATTCGCATTGCATTCCATTGGCTTCGAGTAGCCCCTCTGAAACGTCATTTGTCATGCCTAGCTCATGCAAAGCGTCCGTATGCAAAGAAAGGAAAAAAAAAAAAGACTTGCATGGATGCTGTTACCCTGGAAATGGCGATGGTCTGATGGAGACCCAGCTACATACACAGCAGGTCATTTTCAGCCGATATTCAGCAAGACTGATAAACAGATTTCTGCGAGTCATTTTCAAACAAAAGGCCAGGTTACGGGTGTGGCAGATGGTGCGACGCAGACGGACGGCGATTATCCATGAAGCGCTGAGAGTGGTAGCGGCGGCCAGCAACAATCCATGTAGTAGTTGGATTGCGGGGCGCTGCTCGCCTACATGTGTGGTGGAGCCGCGGCTGCGCAACCGGATCATCGGGGGGATTGACGGCTCGCCAGACGCGACATGTTGCTGTTGCGCCCAGCCTGGACCACATTGGTTGTTCCGGGTCATGATCGCGCTACAACCCTCTTTCCTCTTCCTTGTGCAGCGTACATCGCCATTCCAGTCGGCAGTTGGGCGCCCGTTCCTTTTATTCCGATGACCTACCAGATGTACGAGCGGCATGGCGAATGATTGGGACCATAAACCCTGGGCGCTCAATCCCATGTGCATTCAGTGTACCTTCTTTGTAGCTGAGGCAATTTATCATGCTTATTACTTCCAATAACCTCGCATATGGAAAGAAAAAACTACTGTAGCTCAGCGAATAGATGGGAGATCCATCCATGTGATCTATTTTGGCGACCACTAGAGAAGTAGAGGCCGGACAAGCAATTTTAGCTTCAGATCCGACTAATTCGGAAGAAACTTTGTTGACATGTGCAAACATTACCCACCCTTTCTAATCAACCAAGTTACACCATTGATACACACTGTTTGCAGTATCTGCAGTCTGTACACAAAAGCCAAGACGACCAAGAGAACAAATGATTTATGTACAGGTACAGCCAACAGACATGCAAATTTACATTTCACATGCTTGCTGGCACGGCCGAAATAATCCAGCTAAGAAAGAAAAAGGCATCTTGCTTGATGACCTCACTGATCATTGAGAAGTGCGCGCTTCATCGTTTCCATCATCAAGCAATGGCCTGAGGTTTGATCTCTCAGTGGCAGGAACACCATGCTCGCTCTGCTCATTGAAACGATCAACACTATGCAAAAATATGCCTGCAGAGAGTAAATATGTCCCAGCTTCAGCCAAGTATCACAAATACATGCATTACTGCAGGGCAAGTTTAAATTTATTTTAGGATAAGCATATTCAATCTACACATTAGGGCATGGTAGTGATTAGGTTTGGTTTCAAATCATGCTTGCATATGACTTCTAAACATAAAAGAGTCAAACAGTACAATCCTTTTAATCAGTAAGTGAAAACATGAGATACTGCCCAGACATTATATGAAGTTACATACCCCAAAACCAAAATCCAAATGCACCAACGAGGACGGATGTCAACAAAAGCGCCGTTGTTCTCCAGTTATGGATTTTGTCCTGCATCAAAGTTCCAACAGTAAAAGCACAATATAGGACTCACGATGCAACAATACTGAAAAGCATCACCATCCAAGTGGTGTTGGATGCAACTAAAATGCTATAGCCATAATGCATCAACATCTGCTAGGGCACTAATAGAGTGATAAGAGGACACATAAATATTGGGATCTAAATATACTCCCTCCGTATCAAAATATAAGGCCTTTTTTTGTCTAAATCTAGACCAAAAAATGTCTTATATTTTAATACAGAGGAGTATTTACATATACAAAGCAATCCATTATGACAAGCATTGAGACATCAACATAACAAAATATTTGCATATTAGGGTAATCTCATTTACTCCGTACATGAAAATAATGAACCTGATTACATACAGAGAACATGGGCAATTAAGTTGCTGAGCAAGTAATTCTTTGCCTATGATTCATTGAAAACAAGCACAAGAACAAGTACCTGAATAAACCCAACAATGGGTGAAGAAGGCACATCACCCAATATATGGATTGAAACAGTAGACATAGCCATTGATAATGGCCGCAAACTTGGTTTCACAGAATGAAGGCATATGTAGTTTACTGGAGCCTGTAGGTTCAAAGGATAAGTATATGTGAAGAATTTAACTAGGCATAGGGCATTTACAACATATTGAAATGCTTAGCAGCATGACAAGTACATACAAATAGAAGCAAGTTGTTTAAAAACATTGTCCGTTTTACATCGAATACCCGTACAGCAACTAGACTAACTTCCAATGTAAAGATTTTCAAAAGAGAGAACCAAGATAATCAACATAATAAAATAAGACTTTACGTTTCTTTGTGTTCCTAAATTAGCAACAATAGTTTCATAGCTCAGCCACGTACTAGGAGTCAGAATGTAAAGTGTTGTGAAAATAGTTAAGCAAAGTAAGTATTTACCTGAGTTGCAAAAACCAAGAGCTCCCCCACTGAAAAAAAGGGTATGAATCCATAAAGGCTCTTGAAACAAAAGGCACCGAAACAAAATATCGCCCCTAGGAAAGTTGCGCCAGAAAGAAGCTACAAGAAAAGAAACCATGTCGATTGAAGTAAGAATTACAAAATTAATACAGTAGTAACCAGCATATACAGTTTCCTTTAGCTTCATTGCTCCAGCCTCCTGACTGGCATGTGCTCCGGAAGTAGCGATCTAAAACGTCTTTTAAAAGTATACAGAGGGAGTACTACTCAGTAGACATAAATATAACACACCCATGTTCAACATCATGTTCAACACTCAGTAGACATAAATATAACACACCCATGTTCACACACCTACTTAATGGTCTAGTGTCATTCTGCTAAAGAACAAATAAGGCAACAGGCAATGATAAGAACTAATCCTAGGCACATGCCCAAAAAGAACAACACATTAACTAGTGATTGCATGTTGTTAGCAAAAAAATAAATCATCTGGAGGTCAGTAGCCTAGAATCAGTTATTAAAAACAAACGTAAAATCATCAACTTAAGATGATGGTAAATATATTCTTGCTAATAGAATAACCACACACCCAAGCTATTTGAGAACATACCTTAAAATTGGACAAAAAAGCTGGGTTCTTTTTCTTAAAAATACTCCAGTTAGAAGACAAACAAATGCAAATATAAGATTGTAATTTTTTTCTTACCTTGAAAGCATTGGAAATTGTAGAGTCTATCTTGTCAAGGATGAAACCCCCTGCAAGGGTTCCAAATATTCCACACACTATTGTTATTCCGCCAAACATTAGATCTGCACTGGCCTGGTATGACAAGTTCAGCATGAAAGGTTATCCAGTGAAATGGCAATGTATTTAAGTGTGATAATATAAATATTGTGGTAGGTCTAGGCTATACTAAAGCAGAAGACCAGGACTTTCATACAGGTCACTAAAAAAAATCAATGCTCAAATAAAAATCAACAAATATGGCCCTATGCATCGGAAAAACAGACTACAAGGAATTACCATGTGGTAGATATCCTGACCAGCCTTGGGGCCCCAATAGGAATAGGCACCAATGACAAAGTTGTAGAAGATGTAACCTGGAATTGCCCAATTAAATTTACCGCAGTTACAAACAGGAGAGTATACTTCGCACAAAAGAGTTGCAAATGAAATGTATTTCAGAAGTATCAATCAAACTTCGAATTTGGACGTGAAAGACATGTGTTACTAATTATAAAGATCCATTTGAAGCAATGTACCACGAGAGAACCTTATTGCCCAAATTTTTGAATGCTGAATGAAGAATCTATAGCCAGAGCCAAGATTTGTTTAGAAAATGTTTTTACTTCCCAAAGGTAGTTGCTGGCTTGGCTATTTACAGAATTAGGAATCGGGACACAAATGACAACGAATTTTGGCAGCAAATCGGTTAGGATGTGACTGATATGACAGGCCTTTTTAACCTATGGATTAACAGTAACATTTTATATGGAAAATCTGCCACAAAAGTTGAACCAATTGTGCTTAACTTGAGCGAGAAAACAACAGTGGATCAGAGTACATGTTGTTTCAACTAGGGGTGGGCATTTTAACCGAAGACCGTAATACCGAACCGAAAAAACCGGTGCCAAAGCCGAATAGACCGAAACCGGAAAAATCAGTACAAATTCGGCCAGCTACGCTAGACAACCGAAATTAGCTCGGTCAGTTCGGTTTTAACCCTTTGTTAACCGAAAGGACCGATGACACCGAATAAACTAGTACAGGCCAACTCCATGCACTAGGCTGTAGCCCACTAGCGACTAG